CTGTATTCAAGAGGAACAGCTGGCATCCAAAATGTCAAAATCACATTTCAGGATTACTAAATTCCTAGCTAGGGCTTGTCGATTCGTTGATCCGAGGGTCGAGGGTTCGATTCCCAACTGTGACCAAATTTTCAACTTTTTTGGCGAAAAGACCTAACAAGCAAAGATGCCACAAAATGCCCGTAGCAGATATTGACGCTTCCTGAAATGCAAACACCAATCGAACACGGTCAACTGATGCTGTAATTATCCATACTAAAACACAAGGAAAACGCATCCAAAGTTTGGGTGTCTACTCGGGGAAATCGTGCCGGGAACAAAATATTTTAGGCCTAGGTTTTTGATCGAGAAATTGACGAAATGTGATTTGGCACTTCTTTCGGTCTGACCGAGCTCACTCAATAGATTATAAAAATTTGAAAACCGAGACCAATCAAAACTGGTTTTCGGAACTGTATTCCTATTGAATACAGCTTTCGAATAAGTCGAAACGCGTTAAGATTGGTTAAGTTTGAGATCATCTGCCAGCAAATGCGTCATTAATTGTTAGCTAACCTAATATTATGGACTAGCTTCTTATAATCAAGGTCGGGCCGTAAACCCAAATAGATTTTTGAAAATTAAATTATAGGTGTTCTTGAACAGTTCCTAGTAAAGGGTTATGAATACTTATTAATAGAAAATCTAATTTTGACTGAAATAAAATAAAAAAGCACGTTAGGATCAGGGGGCGGGATAGCGTCTGGCCTTTTACAACCCTGTTTAGAATGGTTTAAGAAACTGGTGTTTTTGGGTGGTTGCGGGCCCACCTATATTTTTGATTTTTTTCACTTGTCCTGGGGTAATCGAGGGCGCTGAGCACGACTTTGACAGTTTTAGAATAGGTGCTCAACCGAAAAGCCGACATTTCGACACGCTGAAAACTAAACTTTTCTTGCATTTTAAATGCAACTTGAAATTCGTGTACTCAAGCCATCGACTATTGAGGCACGTCTCAAGGTCAAAACTAGACCCAAAATCATTTGTAGCCACTAAATATTGATTTTCTAACTTAAATTGACTGGTTAGGAGGCAAAACAAATTGAAAAATATTTTTAAGATTTTGACTCATGTGGGGACCAAATGGTCGAAACTTGAAAAATTTTTTTTGGTTCGCTTCAATTTGAACAGAAACGTAATACAGTCATGGACAAAAGTCTTTTGACATTGGTTTTTAGAAGTTTGTTCTTTGTATATCTTGGTTCAAATCCGAGCAATTTGCAAACGGTTAAAAGATTGAAAGAGCTTATTATCTCTAATTTTAACATTACAAAAAGATGGATTTAACAATTTATCAGGTGTCATGAACTTTTTAATAAAACAAAAATTGGGCCAAAAATTGATGGACAAAAAGTCTTTTAACATCGCAGTTTCGTCGTGAAATTTTCTGTTTTTCCTATTGATTTCTGATTGCTAACACTGATTTTTAGATGCCCGGCGCCTATTTATCAACTCCGGACAAGGAGAAAATCGTCGAAGCTCGAAAAAAATGGAATATCTAGAAAAGCCGTCGCTGAGCTATTCGCTGTACCGAAACAACTGTATCCCTTGTTGTCTCCAGGGCCAAACTCGCGCGAAACGTTCATCGTGCATCAAAAAGTGGACGTCTACCAGTTACAACTTTACGAGAAGATAATGCGCTCGTTCTGGCCCACAAGAAGAACCCAAATCTGAATGCCTCTGATGGTGTGGCTATGGTGAAGCAACAATTTAACAAAGAAATTTCTCGAAAAACAGTGAGTCGACGCCTGATTCACGGTGGATTGATGACTAGAAGGGCCGCCAAGAAACCTCTGATGGTAGCTAAGCGCCGGAAGCTTCGTCTCGAGTTTGCTAAGAAGTATCAAAGTTGGACGTCGCACGATTGGGTCAATGTTGTGTTCACCGACGAATCGAAAGTCAATCTTTTCGCCCCTGATGGCAATCATTTGATACGGAGACCAGTCGGACAACGTTATAACATTAAATACTTGCGTCCTACAGTTAAATTTGGTGGCGAATCGATCTTGCTATGGGGTACGAACCTTTGTATTTTATGCCTACTGATTTTCTGTTTTCTAGGAGCAATGTCCAAAAATTCACTGGGTCCACGCGTCCTTCTAAACTTAACGCTGAATGCTCAACGCTACAAGACAATTCTGGAGAATGATCTTCTACCGTTTTCGACCGCAAATATGGGCCAAGGTTGGTTGTTGTACCAGGACAATGCCCCGTGCCACAAGTCACAGCTGCTGATGGGACGCCGTGTTATTTGCGCAACTCACCATAACTTTTTTCTAAGTGAACCAATCACTGTGATTTTGGTTTCATTTTGTAGATCTCAATAAGTGCAACAAAATGACACCAAAATCATAAAGATTGGCCGAACGATTGTGAAGTTTGTGAAGTCGAAATTGAAGGGGAAACTATTCGGATCAAAAGTGGAGCTTTGGTACTTCATCCGTCGAGTCTGGACAACTATTGGACCCCAAATTCTACGTGATCTGGTTGACAGCATGCCAAGGGAGAATTCAAGCAGTAATTGCGGCTCGCGGAGGACCTACTAAGTATTGATTTCATAATGTTTTTCTCACATGTTAAAAGACTTTTGTCCATCAATTTTTGGCCCAATTTTTGTTTTATTAAAAAGTTCATGATACCTGATAAATTGTTAAATCCATCTTTTTGTAATGTTAAAATTAGAGATAATAAGCTCTTTCAATCTTTTAACCGTTTGCAAATTGCTCCGGTTTTGAACCAAGAAATACAAAGAACAAACTTCTAAAAACCAATGTCAAAAGACTTTTGTCCATGACTGTAACTCATTTCGCCAAGCTCTCCTTGTGTTTTTCGGAATCTACGCATAAAGCTACCCGAGATAAAGTGGTTTTGAAAAACAAAAAAGTGCCCTCCTTCCCAACCTGAATAGCGCCTAGAAGCGTCATGTTCAACGCGTCGAAATGTTGGTTTTTCAGTTGAAATGCTAAAGATTTATGTTTATTAGTTTATTATCTTATGCTAAAATGTCAATTTCGTCCTAAGCGCCCTCGATTACCTCTAGAAAATTGGAAAATCAAAAATATAGTTGGCCCCCCAACCATCAAAGTACCAAACTTCTTTAAATTTCTTTGCCTTAAAACTGGAGCTGTCAATCACTAGTTATAGTCAGCATTGAGATACCACTTTATTTTAGTGATTACTTTCAAGATGGTCTCAATGGGATAGAACGACACAACGGGATCCAATTGCTAGCAGAGCGTGCAGCGACTTATGGTGATGAATGGTGGGTAGGACGTGTCGACATTGTGACTGTTTTTCGAAAAGGAGCATATCACAAAACGTGCACTTACCTCTATGGAGCATCTGGTGATTGGATGATTTCTGAGATGAAGACGTGGAGTCGCCCATGTGCATTGGCATGTGGACATGTTTGTGTTGTGCATTTAACTGCTTGATATCGTTTGAATAAAGGAACTCATGAAAAAGATTCCCAGTGACGCAAGAAAGCAGAAAAAAAGAGATGCGGCTTTAAAAAGGGTCCCTAAATTTTAAAATGACTTTTTATGTAGTTGACATTTTAAAATTGAACAATAGTTGATTACATTCACATCTTTAAAATAGTTTGCTCAAATTGATTTCATTAATTCCATTTAGATTCCTTTAAAACATAAAAATGTAAAAACTGAGTAAAAACTGAAGAAAAACATAACATTTACGAATCAATTAAACCTGGATTCAGGGTAACATTAAACCATCTATCAGCCGCTTCCTTTAGTTTCTCCGTTGAAAAACGAACAGCTTCGAGTTTGAATGAAAATGGGTAGGCCTTTCGCTTGACTTTTAGTCTTAGAGCTTGTTGAATTCGACATTATCTAAGAAAGAAAAATGATTAACGCAATAAAAATCTGAAAAAAATCGGAAAAAAGACGAAACGAAATAAAACTACACTTTCGGGTTGACTTTTCGTATTTCGAATACAATAATTTTAGCCACAAATAGAAAAGAAGTGATACTTCGAATAAAAGATCGGTGTTATATTCAACCTGGTCTTCTCTTTTTTCAATCAGCCTCTAGACCTCGTCTTCTATTCGAAGCGCTCTTTTATTCTTCTTAATAGTCTTCTATTGCTTTTTTAATAGTCTTCGGTCTTCTATTCGAAGATATACGGTAGACTAAAATAAACAATAAACAAAAAAAACCAAATTCTCGGACGATAATTCCGGTTGATCACGCCATTTTCGGACCAATTTTCGTTTTCATCACTAAGCAAAATAGTTTGAAAACTATTGTGTAAATACCGTATTTTCTTTCTCTAATAGTAGTGCACACTGAGCGTCGCCTAAATTCCTCGAAATCTCGAGAACCGCTTGTCAGAACCTATCGATGTGGGGTAGGAAAATGTAGCTGACGATGAGATCTTTTGGGGGATTTGAGTGTTGAGCTTCTACGAAAACTTTGAAAGCCGTAAAATCGCCACCAACTCGGCTCGCTGGGGTGCACTACTATTAGAGAAAATACGGTAATTAAAAACTTACCTTATTTCCTGTTCATCATCGTAGTCTTTACTAAACATTGAGACAAATGGAGTGCTTCGGATTCCATAGTGGCATCTTCTATTTTTCATGAGTTATTGTAAATCTTCATATGTAAATGTAAAATATGGCTACTCAGATACTGCATTTGATCGTAAAAGCGCTGAAATTTGTCTTCACTTTCTTCCATTAACTTCTTTTGAGCGATTTATTAAATGGGAAAAAGAAAAAATGTACGCTTCTATCAAAAAAACTCTTTTTGAATTGAATCATTTTCCAGACACCACATAGACCTTTAAATTCCAAACTTCAACTTTCAACTTTCAAATTGACTACTTTATTTTCTCCATAAATTTTTTGATGATTATTTGAACAACTTCTCGTTTTTTACTAAACTTAATCTTTTTTACAATTTTGATTTCATCAAATTTGCTTTTCGGTTGGCTGTAAATGAAGAAAGAATTAGTTTTCTTGTTTGTGGCTTCACTGGCACAAATTGTGACACCAAATGAAGGTCCGATTGAAGGTTTGTTTCGATCCATTACTTTGTTCTTTTTTGTTGTCCAACTCGTCTACCGGCTTTTTTTTAGAATGGAGGAAAGACTGCAACAGCCAGAGTGAAAAAATAGTCATTCATTCGGCTGGTGGCAATTGGACAAACCTTTCGAGCGATTTGACGACTCAGTAAGCGTTGTTTCGTGAAAGATTTTCCGGGCTTGGCCCGTTGAAAGCCTTAATGAGCTTGAATCCGATTAAGGCTTGCTCCAAGCCATAATCCGGTCCTTGCCTCAAGGCTTTTTGATCGCCAGGGATAACCCCTTTCATTCTATCTTCAAAATTACAGTCAACAGTATGGGGTCTATCGAAAGTTCACGTGCACTGCTGATCCAGGCCATTTCGCGTTTGTTCAAGTAGGAGTTTCTTTTTCAGTTTATCCTCAAAAGTGTGTTTCAGATCAACCACAAGATGGATTTTCCATCAGACACAAAAACTATCACTTGTGGAAAGACGCGTAAATGGTTGCACAAAGGTGATGTCGTTGTCACTGTTGGATGCTACATGGGCCCACGGGCAAGTTTGCTTTGCAAATAGGTTTAGTTAAAGGTATTAAAGGTAACCAAGCATTTAAAAATTTTCTCGAGGCAGCAAGCTTTTAGGCAAATTGGATCCAAAAGCCCAAAGAAGAGGAAAGGATTCTGAAATTGGATGGGCGAGCATCACGGAGCTCAAGAGGATCAAAAGGATTGGACATGGAGCAGCACCCAGTATGAACAACAAAAGAAAATGCAACGAATGGCCTCGGAAATCCAAAATCTTTTGGTTAACACCGATCATATGTAAGTTTTAGCTCACTATCAACGCGAAAAGGGTTCTTTTCCGTTATACATCCGCAAAATTTGCATCCTTCCATGAAAATGAAGGAAAACCACAGAAAATCATTTTTTCACTATTTTCTAAGGGCGGGGTGGATTCATGTTTCGCTTGCCGACTACCGAGGACGATGCAATCTCGTTCTTTCAACAACGCCGCATCTTGCTTATTACTCGCACATGCGCAAACCATCAGGTTATGAAGCTATTGCTCAATCAGAACCCCCAATGCGGATGTGACAAAACGTCGTGCTGGACAGCGATCGACCTGCCTGTTGGCTCATGGATGGAGAGCACCAAAATTCCGTTTCTCACAACCCTACGATTATGGATGGACTCAACAGTGAACCTCGATCAACTATTGTGCGAAAGAATTGGAGACGAATCAAAGAACCGCGGTCGATTTCAACACACTAGGATTCCTTGCGTGGAATATCTAGTGAACAAGCTGAGAGGAAAAATTGGATAAGTCGATCGAATCGTCGAAGTGGACGAGGTTCTCTTCTCGAAGCGAAAGGCGAATGTGGACCGAATCTTGCCGCAAGTTTGGATATTTAGAGTAGCTTGCCGGGAAACCAAGGAATGTTTTCTGGTCGAGGTGACCGACCCTATTGGAAGCGATGATTGAACACATCGAGCCGGAAACCTAAATTGACTCCGATTGATGGCGAGGATACAACCCTCACCAGATGGAGGAGGCAGGCTTTGCCCACCCTCATGTCAACAAGTACAACTTCCTGAATCGGGTTGACCCTGCCATTCACGCGCAGACGTCTAGGGGCAAAACGGAGAAACAAGAAGCATCGAGGCACGTCATTTCCTACCGAACTACCTCGCTAAATTGACGGTTCGACGAGAAGTGAGAAAGGACGATTTCTACGAGTGGGTGTTGCAACAAATTGCTACGGCATGGATTGATCCTCACTGATTCCTCATTGATTAATAATCAATGGTTATTTTTGTGGATGTATAACGGAAAGGAACCGTGAAACGTTTCTGAATAAAACTTTGTCTTGCAATGTTTTCTGTAATTTTCAGAGTCAGGAAGCAAGTCGCCGTTCTACCGGCAGACTATGTGAATGCTTATGGGAAACACAGGCCCTCTCAGAAGACAACTACTACATGAGAACGGCTTTTGTTGGCTTTGGAGACGATAACTCTGTGCTGGAATTTGCGAACTATGTAATATTTGTGTTTCGTGGTGGCTTTCCGGGCAGACCAAAGCCTAATGCAGAAGAAGAAATCAGGTCAGACGAGTGTTTATTAGGCTGGCTAATAAGTAATGGTGGATTTGCTGGAAGATGATCGCAAACTAAACCAATCTACAATACTTGATTTTAGTCATTACTTTCAAGATGATTTCAAATCGAGAGAACGACACAACGGGATCCAATTGCTAGCAGACCGTGCAGCGACTTATGGTTATAAATGGGAAGGACGTATCGACATTGTGACTGTTTTTCGAAAAGGAGCAAATCACAAAACGTGCACTTATCTCTATGGAGCATCTGGTGATTGGATGATTTCTGAGGTGAAGACGTGGAGTCGGCCATGTGCAGCTGGATGTGGAGATGTTTGTGTTGCGCATTTAACTGCTTGATGTCGTTTGAATAAATGAATTCATGAAAAAGATTCCAAGTAAGAAAACAGAAAGAAGAAATACGACCTTAAAACAAAGTACATAAATTTTTAAATGACTTTTTATGTAGTCGACATTTTAAAATTGAACAATAGTTTGATTACATTCACATCTTTAAAATAGTTTTCTCAATTTGATTTCAGAAATTCCATTTAGATTCATTTAAAACTTAAAAATGTCTCCAAATAACCAGCGAAATCACAAAACGAGCAATGAAAATCTTTGTGCTTCTTCTTTTGACTTCATGCCTGTTTATTTCAAAGGTTCAAGTAAGTTGGAGTAAGTTGGAGTTCGAGTACTATAGTAAGTAGTTGGAGTATCAACTGCTTACTATAGTACAGTGAGTAGTTGGAGTATAAAACTAGTCTAGCACCTTAGTTTAATAAGGTTTATTTTAAGATTCATCGTTTCTACATTTTTGCTAAGTTTTAATCATAGATCTTTAAGAACCACTTTAACTGAAGAGAACCGGTTCCTTAATGTTCCGGATGATAATTTGGCAACATCTGCTTGTCATCTCCTATTCATTGCTAAAGTAGGCACCCCAGTGTGTCCGAAACTACTGAAAACAACAGCCCAGTAAACACAAGCACTTGCGGATGAAGCTCTCAGAAAAAAAAAGATTCCAATCACTATTCAAATTTGAGCAAATTCCAGGCAAAATTTTCGTTGCTAACTTCAAGAAAAACTCTTCCTTTATCAACTTTACAGAATCTTTTCCCAATCTAGGTTCCGCCCTTTTTTGCCAATGGCCGCGTACAGACAGACGGACGGACAAACGTCTCTTCTGCTTGATATATACTACCATATTTATTCGAATTGAAGCACAGTCTCCAATAGAAGCAATTTTATGAAGAGGGTTGAAAAATAGATGCAAATGTGCTTCTATTTTTCACCTACCGTATTCTACCTTTCACCTACCGTATTCAACCTATTCAACCGTTTTTCACCTACCATATTCAACCTACCGTATTCTAATAGAAGCAAATGTGCTTCTATTAGAATACGGTAGGTTGATCAAAAGAAATTTCGGTTTTTTACAAATATTAAATTTAATCAAAATTTCTTTAGATAACAATTTATTCCAAAAAAATAAGCATCATGGTTATCTATGGTTATCCATAACATCCCTCCAATGATTCTATAACATCCCTCCAACGTTGTTCAGATTGCGGATCCCCTTATCGAAGAGCTCTTGATTCTGTGATTGAAAGTAGTCGTTCATCCAAAACTCCATGGTCTTTCCGATTATTTTCAAATGACAATTGTTGATTGATCACATTGGAGATGTTTGGTAAGCTCTCGTGTTGTTTGCATTGGCTTCAATAACTTGTTCCAATTCATTATTATCGATCGCTGCCGAGCGATGCCCATGTGGTTCGTCTTCAAGTGATTCAATACCTTCTCGGCATCGGACAAACTAGAGCTGGCAGGATCTTTCGGTCATAACTTGTTCTCCAAAAGCGGAACAGCAATCACGATGTGATTCGGCCGCGCTTTTGCTCATCTTGAAATCGTAGAGAAGAGACGCGCGCACAACATACTTTTGATCCACCATGATCTAAAGCAAATACACCCATGCACAAAAAAAATGTCACATCGTTTTTACAAAACTTTACGCCTAAATTTGACCTACTAAACGTGTTCCAAATTCTATGCTGTCAAAAGGTTTTAGATAGCAAAAAGCTTCTACTTTCTTGTGAAAAAGTGTTCAAGTTCAAGCAATTTGTTTAAATTTTTATTTTTCAATAAATACCGGAAGAACACCAAAAACGGGTGCACAAAAAAAATGTCACATTTAACTTGAACCTGCTTTTTTTCCGTTTTACTTTTTTTGATTGCATTCTTTTATGCTAATTTTTTTAATCTTAGAATGGTAAAATCACAGCTCTCAACGCCAGACAAAGAAAAGATTGTTGAAGCAAGGAAACAAGGAATCCCGCGGAAACAGGTGGCCGAGCTGTTCAAATGTGATGTAAGAGGATTTGACTGATTCGATGCCACGGAGGATTCAGGCAGTTATTCAAGCTAAGGGAGGCCCGACAAAATATTAGATTTTTGTTTTTATCAATTTTTATCAAATTAGCATAAAAGAATGCAATCAAAAAAAAGTAAAACGGAAAAAAAGCAGGTTCAAGTTAAATGTGACATTTTTTTTGTGCACCCGTTTTTGGTGTTCTTCCGGTATTTATTGAAAAATAAAAATTTAAACAAATTGCTGGAACTTGAACACTTTTTCACAAGAAAGTAGAAGCTTTTTTGCTATCTAAAACCTTTTGACAGCATAGAATTTGGAACACGTTTAGTAGGTCAAATTTAGGCGTAAAGTTTTTGTAAAAACGATGTGACATTTTTTGTGCATGGGTGTATTAATTTAAAGGTTAAAGCTCTGAATTAGAAAAAGCGTAAAAATAAAGTAAATATCTAAGAGTACAAATATACAAAAGAAAATCAAATAAGATTGCTGATTAAAAAATAGAAAATTTTATACCGACCTAAATTTCTTTTGCATCAAGCTAGTACATCGAGAATCCTTCACGAACTTACAGTTGTTGTTGTTGTTGTTGGTGTTGTTGTGGTGGTCGTCGTCGTTGTGGTCGTCGTTGGGGCGGTCGCAGTAGCAGTAGCAGTAGCAGCAGTAGTAGCAGCAGTAGTAGCAGATATTAAGTCCTGACAAAAAACTTTCTTTTTACATTCGTTTTTGTGAGGGCCTTTTGGGCGGACAATAATATTGATCGCTTGCACAATCGCTGCCATTTGTACATTTTGAAACATTTGAATGATTTTACCAAGCTCAAGTCAACTATTATATTGCTCAAAAAGGCTTTTAAAGAATCTACATTGGCTCTCAAGGAAGCTAAAAGTTTAAAAAGAATAGCTTTATCTGTTTTATCTGTTTTGTATAAAATCCTTAAAAACTTTATCTGTTTTAAGGATTTTATTTATTTGAAAAAAGCAAATCAAATTTCCCGCTGTACTTTTGAATCACTAGCGGCTGAAAATCCCAGTGGCTGCAACATATAAAAAAAAATATGGCTACTCAGATACGGCACTGGTACTACAGTTTGTCGTAAAAGCGCTAGAATTTTTCTTCTCGTTTTCCATTAATTTATTTCGAGCCACATATTATTAGGAAAAAAATGTATGATTCTATCAAAAAAATTCTTCTTTAATCGAATCATTGTCATAACATAGACCTTTAAATAAAAGCATAAAAATTCGATATGAAAATGAAGTAGTCAAATGAAATTCCAAAGTCTTAGTATTGATTTGAACAACTTCTCGTTTTTTAAACTAAACTTTCTCTTTTTACAATTCACATTTCATAAAAGTTGCTTTTCAGTTGCTTGTAAATGAAGAAAGAATTAATTTCCTTCTTTGTGGCTTCACTGGCACAAATTGTGACAGCAGATGAAGGTTCGTTTGTTTCGATCGATTACTTTGTTCTTTTTTTGTTACCCAATTCTTCTACTGACTATTTTTTTGGAATGGATTGAAGATTGCAACAGCCAGAGTGAAAACATTCACATTCATTCGGCTGGTGGCAACTGGAGAAACTTTTCGGGCGATATGACGTCTAAGTAAGCGTGTTTCTTGAAAACTTTCCCGCGCTCGGCCCGGTGAAAACCTTCATGAGCTCGAACTCGATCAAGGCTTGCCCGCAGCCATGGTCCGGCCCTTGGCTCAAGTCTTTTTGGTCGCTAGAGACAACCCTTCTCATTTTATCTTCATCACTCAATTACAGTAAATATTTTTGGATCCAACGAACGTTCACATGCACTGCTGATCCAGACCATTTCCCGCTGGTTCGAGTGGGAGTTTCTTTTTCAGTTTATCCTCAAAAATGTTTTTCAGATCAACCACAAGATGGATTTTCCATCAGACACAAAAACCATCACTTGTGGATCGCGGCGTAAATGGGTGTACAAAGGTGAAGTCGTTCTCAATGTTGGATGCTACACAGGCACACGGGTGAGTTTTTACGTATAGTTAAAGGTATTGCGAAAAAAAAGTTGTTAGTAAATCCACGAGAGGCAACAGGGACAGGAAGCTTTTAGGCAAATGATCGATTACTTTGTTCTTCTTTTGTACCCAACTCGTCTACTGACTGTTTTTTAGAATGGATGGAAGGGTGCAAGAACCAGAGTGAAAACATTCAAATTCATTCGGCTGGTGGCAACTGGGGGAACTTTTCGAGCGATGTGACGTCTAAATAAGCGTTGTTTTGTGAAAACTTCCCCGGGCTCGGCTCGGTAAAAGCCTTAATGAGCTTTGGACTCGATCAAGGCTTGCCCCCTATGGCCGGCCCTTGGCTAAGGCCGCTAGGGACAACCCTTCTCATTCTATCTTCATCTTTCATTTACAGTCAATATTTTTTGCTCGATCGAAAGTTCACGTGCACTGCTGATCCAGACCATTTCGCGCTTGTTCGAGTCGGAGTTTCTCTTTCAGTCTATCCTCAGAAATGTGTTTCAGATAAACGACCAGATGGATTCACCGTCAGACACGAAAACTATCACTTGTGGATCGGAGCGTAAATGGTTGTGCAAAGGTGAAGTTGTTGTCTCTGTTGGATGCTACACAGGCACACGGGTGAGTTTTTACGTTTAGTTCAAGGTTTTGCTAAAAAAGTTGTTAGTAAATCCACGAGAGGCAGCAGGGACAGGAAGCTTTTAGGCAAATTGGATCCAAAAGTCCAAAAGGAAAAAATTCAAAATTGGATGGCCGAGCATTACGGAGTTAAAGAGGATCAAAGGATTGGACATGGGGCAGCACCCAGTATGACCAACAAAAGAAAATGCAGCGAATGGCTTCGGAAATCCAAAAACTTTTGATTAACACCGATAATATGTAAGTTTTAGCTCACGATCAACGCGAAAAGGGTTCTTTTCCGTTATACATCTGCCAAATTTGCATCCTTCCATGAAAATGAACAAGGAAAACCACAGAAAATTCTTTTTCGCTGTTTTCTAAGGGCGCGGTGGATTCATGTTTCACTTACCGACTACGGAAGCTGATGCAATCTCGTTCTTTCAACAACGCCGCATCTTGCCTATTACTTGCACATGCGCCAACCATCACGTTATGAAGCTATTGCTCAATCAGAACCCCCAAGGAAGCTATTGCTCAATCAGAATCCATCAGGATGTGACAAAACGTCGTGCTGGACAGCGATCGACCTGAGTGTTGGCTCTTGGATGGAGAGAACCAAAATCCCGTTTCTCATAATCCTATGATTATGGATGGACTCAACAGTGAACCTCGATCAACTCTTGTGCGAAAGAATTGGAGATGAATCACCGCGGTCGACTTCAACAACTAGGATTAGAGTGTGTTCCTTGCAGACAACACGTTTTCTAAAAAGCGCTCGCCAAATATAAGCTACCGTAACCCTATGCTTTGCATAAGCGATTTTTTAAAATACAAATGTTCATTAAAACCTTGCGCTTTCTTTTCTACTACTCTTTTCTAGGAAAAACGATACGCTTTTGACACTAGCTATGGCCGAAACTAATATCTCCATTACTCAGCTTAGTCGTAGCAAAAGGTGGAAAGCATGGTTTAATGCGCAAAATATCAAAATGCCTGGTCGAAAAAGGTTTATAAAAAGTTATTTACTACAAAAAAAGTACATCGACATCGACACCATAAAAAATTCAATGATCGGTAGACTCGAAGACCAAATAAGGGAAAGCCTAAAAGAAATTGTGGAATGTTCGATTTCAAGTGATTCAAATGATCGCCCGTGAGTCCAATTCTTGCAAAGCATCCCCAATCGACACCAGATCTTTGCAACTGATCAGAAGAAATTGTTCGAAGAATGTTTTCCATTTTCCACAACAAAAACATATACAGTCGTCAAAAAAAATTGCACCCTCGAAGAAAAACTCGTTTTTGGCAAAAAAGTCAAAAGCACCCCAGACAAAAAGCTTAAACTTCAGTATCTGGTCGGTCCTCCTTGAGCTTTAATGATCTCTTTCATTCGACTTGGCATACTTGCAACCAATTCCTCGAGTGTCCGTGGTGAAATCGACTTCCAAATCTCTTGCACCTTGTCCCAAAGCTCATCCTTGGAAGAAAACTGGTAGCCACGTAATTCTCGTTTTACACTTGCCCATAAATGCTCAATCGGGTTACAATCGGGAGAGCCTCCCCAGCACATTACACCACCACCATTAAACTTGACTGTTGGTCTGGTGTATTTGAGTCGATATCGATCACCAATCGGTCTTTTGATCACATAATAGCCATTATCAAAGCTAAAATATCAAATCTGCACTCGTCACTAAAGAGTACGTGCTTCCAACTCTCAATTGACCAGTGTTGATGTTCTAAAGCAAACTGTAATCGTTGCTGCCTGTATCGTAGATTCATCAACGGTTTGAGCGTCGGCCATCTCGAGTACACTCCAAGTGTTTTAAGTCGATTTCGCACAGTCCTAGTGGTTACATTGACTCCAAGTCTCCGTTTCAAAAACGATTTCCCATCGGTAGCCGTGCGAGTGGGAGATAGAAAATGGTATTTGTGCATTGCTCGATCTTGATCCTTTGTCGTTTTGTCATTGAATTCGGCTTCAATTTCTCTGAATTCAGTTCCAATTTCTCTAAATTCGGTTCATTCTTTCTCTAAATTCCGTCCCTATTTCTCTAAGTTCGGTTTCTATTTTTCTAAATTCGGTTGATTATTTCGTTAAATTCGGTCCCTATTTCACTAAATTCGGTCCCCATTTTTCTAAATTAGCTTCCTATTTCTCGAAATTTGTTTCATATTTTCGAAAATCGGTCCGTATTTCTCGAAATTCGGTTCATTCTTTTTCTAAAATCGGTCCCTATTTCTCTAAAATCGATTCTTATTTCGGTTCCTATTTCTATTAATTCGGTTCTTATTTCGCTAAATTCGGTACTTATTTCGGTTCCCTACTTCTATAGATTCGGTTCGAATTTCTCCAAATTCGGTTCCTATTCCGCTAAATTCGGTTCCTATTCCCTCTAAATTCGGCTCATTGTTTCTCTAAATTCGCTTCCCTATCTCTCTAAATTCGGTTCTTATTTCGGTTTCTATTTGTCTAAATCCGGTTCTTCATTCTGCTCTAAATTCGGTTCCTATAACTCTAAATTTGGTTTATTATTTCTCTAAATTCGGTTCGTTATTTTTCTAAATTCGGTTCCCATCTTGTTAAATGCGGTTCTTATTTCTCGAAATTCGGTTCCTATTTCTCGAAATTCGGATCTCATTTCTTGAAATTCGGTTCTTATTTCTATAAATTCCATTCATTATTTCTTCAAATTCACTGGCTACTACTTAGGATTCGGTCCCTATTTCAGTTCCTTTTTCTCTTCATTCGGTTCTTATTTCTCTAAATTCAGTTCCTATTTCTCGAAATTCGTTTCATATTTTCGAAAATCGGTCCGTATTTCTCGAAATTCGGTTCCTATTTCTCTAAATTCGGTTCCTTTTCTCTAATTTCGGTTTCTATTTCTCTAAATTCGGTTCATTCTTTTTCTAAAGTCGGTCCCTATTTCTCTAAAATTAGCCCTTATTTCGGTTCCTATTTCTATTAGTTCGGTTCCTATTTCTCTAACTTCGGTTCGTGATTTCTCTAAGTTCGGTTCCTGTCTCGTTAAATTCGGTTCCTATTTCTTTCAACTGGGTTCCTATTTCTCTACATTCGTTTCATTATTTCTCTAAATTCCCTTGCTATTTCTCCACATTCGGTTTCTAGTTCTCTAAATTCGGTTCATTCTTTCACTAGATTCGGTCTCTATTTCTCTAAACTGGGTCCATATTTCCCTAAATTCGGATGCTTTTTCTCTAAGTTCGGTTCATTATTTAACCAGCTAGGAACCGAGAATTTAACGAGATGAGAACCGAGTTTCGAAAAATAATGAAGCGAATTTAGTGAAATAGGGACCGAATTTAACGAAATAATCAACCGAATTTAGAAAATTGGAGCCGAATTTACAGAAATAGGGACCAATTTGAGAGAAATAAGAACCGAATTTGAGAAATAGGAACCGAATTCAGAGAATAGGAACCGAATTTAGACATCTAGGGCCCAAATTTGGTGAAATAAGAACCGAATTTAACGAGAGGGGAAGCGAATTTGGAAAAATAACGAACTGAATTTGGTAAAATAGAAACCGATTTGAGGAGATAGCAACCGAATTTAGAGAAATAGAATCGAAACAAGGACCGAATTTAAGAAATAGCCAGTGAATTCAAAGAAACAGGAACCGATTTTCGAGATAGGAACCGAATTTAGGCAAATAGGGACCGAATCTAGAAAAAGAATCAACCGAATTTAGAGAAATAGAAATGGAATTTCGAGAAATTGGACCCGAAGTTAGAGAAATAGGAACCGAATTTAGAGATATAGGAACCGAATGGAGAGAATTAGGAACCGAATTTAACGAGACAGAAACCGAATTTAACGAGATAAGAACCGAATTTAGAGAAATACGAACCGATTTCAGAGAAATAGGGACCGAATTTAAGGAAATGGGAGCCGAATTCAGAGAAATAGAAACTGAATTTCGAGAAAGTGGAACCGATCTTAGACAAATATGAGCCAAATTCATAGAAATAGGAACCGAATTGAGAGTAATAACGAACCGAATTTAGAGAAGTAGCAAGAGAATTTAGGGCAATAATGAACCGAATTAAGAGAAATAGGAACCGATTCTAGACAAATATGGACCGAATTTAGAGAAATAGGAAGCGGATTTAGAGAAACAGGAACCGGATTTAGAGAAATTGGACACAACTTTAGAGAATTAGGAACCGATTTTAGAGGAATAGGAAGCGAGTTGAGAGAAATACGGAAGCCATTGACTGCAACAGGTTCCTATTTCTCTAAACTGGGTTCAGATTTCTCTAAATTCAGTTCGTTTTTCCATAAATTCGGTTCATTATTTTTCTAGATTCGCTTCCTATTTCTCTAAATTTGATTCTTATTTCGGTTCCTATTTCTCTAGATTCGCTTCCTGATTCTCCAAATTGGGTGCCTATTTCTCTAATTTTGGTTCTTATTACGATTCCTATTTCTCTCAAACGGCTGCTATGTCTTTTAATTCGATTCATTATTTCCCTAGATTCGCTTGCTAATTCTCCAAATTGGGTTCCTATTTCTTTAAATTCGGTTCCGATTTCTCAAAAATCGGTTCCTATTTCTCGAAACTGGGTTCAGATTTCCCTAAATTCAATTCGTTTTTCTATAAGTTCGGTTCATTATTCCTCTAGATTGGGTTCCTATTTCTCTCAATTCGGTTATTATTTTGGTTCCTATTTGTCAAAAATCGGTTCCTATTTCTCTGAATTCGGTTGCAATTTCTCTCAATTCGGTTCCTGTTACTCCGAACTGGGTTCAGATTTCCATGAATTCGGTTCATTATTTCTCTAGATCCGGTTCCTTGTTCTCCAAGTTCGGTTCTTATTTTGGTTCCTATTTGTCTAAATTGGGTCCTTATTTCTCTAAGTTCGGTTCCTATCTCGTTAAATTCGGTTCCTATTTTTCTAAATTCGGTCCGTATTTCTCTCAACTCGCTTTCTATTTCTCTAAATTTGATTCTTCATTCGGGTCCTATTTCTCATAATTCGGTTCCTTTTTCTCTAAATTCGATTCATATGTCTCTAAAATCGGTTCCCATTTCACTAAATCCGGTTCGTTATTTCTCTAAATTCATACTCTATCGTTAAATTCGGTTCCTACTTCTCTAAATTTGGGCCCTATTTCTCTAAATTCGGTTCCTGTTTCTCTGAATTCGGTTCGTTATTTCTCTAAACTCGGTTCCTATCTCGTTAAATTCGGTTCCTATTTCTCTCAGTTCGGGTCCTATTTCTCAAAATTCGGTTCCTTTTTTTCTAAAATCGGTTCCTATCTCGTTAAATTCGTTAAATTTTGACTGTTTTTCAAAAAGGAGCAAATTACAAAACGTGCACTCATCTCTATGGAGCATCTGGTGATTGGATGATCAATGAGGGGAAGATGGGGAGTGACCCATGTGCGGCTGCATGTGGAGATGTTTGTGTTGTGCATTAAACTGCCTGATATCGTTTGAATAAAGGAACTCATGAAAAAGATTCCCAGTGACGCAAAAAAAGTGCGGCCTTGAAGAAAGTCTCTTGATTTTTAAATGACTTTTCATGTAGTTGACATTTTAAAATTGAACAATAGTTGATTACATTCACATCTTTAGGATAGTTTTCTTAAATTGATTTCATTAATTCCACTCGGCTTTCTTTAAAACTTAAAAATATCACCAAATAACGGGCAAAATAACAAAACGAGAAATCAAAATCTTTGTGCTTCTACCTTTGACTTCATGCCTGGTTCTTTCAATAGTTCAAGTAAGTCAAAAGAGTAATTTTCGTGGTTTTAGGTATCTATTAGGTTGAAAAGAAAGTACTTGGAAAAAGTTTGACTGGAATTTCTTGAAAACGAATCCACCAATTCAAGAACATTCTCTTCTATTCTGAACAAGTGGACTCCAAGAAATTACTCGTAAAAAATGAGTGCCGCTTTCCCCATGAAATTTTAGATTATTGCATATCCCATTTTGCAAAAAATGATTATTTTCCAGTTTAAATTCAGCTCACTTTTTGCACCAGAAAAATGATTCCTTATGAGGTAAAGCTAGCATAAGTTTTAAATTTTAAATTTTAACAGAGAAGCTTTTTCAAAAAATAATTTGGGTGTGACCTTCTCGGCGCTGAGTGTTATAGCTGATTCTGAGAAGTGCAAGCATTAGATCAAATTTGCATTAATCACAAATTTTCCCTATTTTAAGTACTTCATTTTAGGTTTTGAATGGAACCTATTGCCTATTCATTAACCCATTAAAAACTTGTCTAAAGGCTGGTCACCCAAAAAAGTGACCAAATCACTTCAACAGAAGAAATCTCTTATTTTTTACCTTAAGCCCACTGATTTTTTGTCAAAAACTTTTTGAAATATAGTCAAGTTAATCAAAAAATCTGGGAAGAATTTCAGGGTTATTTTTGAGAAATCACTTTGCAAACTTTTTTCCGAGAACTTTTTTCCAACCTAATACCACTTTGTTTGATGTACTGAAGTAACTATAAAGTATGCGCCAAGCATTCATTGGATTCGTTTTTAAGAAATTCCAGTTAGATTTTTCCGAGCATTTTCTTTCGAACCTAATA